GCTATTTCGGATTAATGACCGGTCAGTAGGGTATTTGTGGTGATTAGTAGGCCTATCTGACACTGCGTGAACAATTGAGTTCTAACTGTTAAGTTGTTTATACAGTCAAAGCAATAAAAGTGCAGTCTGTTGATATATTCAAGTCACTTGTGAGTCATGGGTAATCCTGCTTGGTTTTTTTATAATCATGAACATTTTGGATTTTCCTTGAGGTGTACAAAAACGAAAAAATCCAGACATCCGGATATTCAGTTATCCGGACGATTTACGAAAAGACAAATGTGTCCGGGTATCCGAGGTCTCAGTGTATATGTAGGTTGGTATAAAGGTCGGTCCTGGAAGAAATGTCCACAAACTAGTTCTCATCTACCTAGAAGATGCTCAGTCCCTGGGAAGTCTTCTTGTTGTTATATATATTTGTTAGCAACCTATACATATGATGTTCATGTAAATAAATGTATGTGGATTGTACTAGGTGTGTCTGGTTCTACCTGGCCAAGCTACCCCCTTTTGTCACAACATGGTACAAGGATAAAGATGCAAGCAATAAGTAACGACCATGACCTTTTGGATAACCTAACCTTACTTTATACTCCAGATGAGACTTTTTCCCCTTTGCATACAATGGTGGCCTTAGAATAGAATCTAAGTTGTCCAATGTATTTTTGTTGTAGAATTGCTAAGCCCTCAACTTTTTTAAAGTCATAGTTGTGTCAATCATTTTGTCTCTCGTTCACCATTAATAAACTAATGAATAAATACATAATACATATAAATAAATTCAGTGCAAAATCATACGGTACACCTACAGAATACCGGATACCTACCAGCCATATTGTTTAGTGTCACATCACCCGAACCCAAACGCTAACCCTAAACCTTACCCCAACCCTAAACCTTACCCTAACCCTAAACCTTACCCTAACCCTAAACCTTGCCCTAACCCTAAGTAAACTCGCGTGCTTTCAAAGATGGCGGAAGGTATCCGGTATTCTGTAGTCTTACCAATCATACAGATTTTTTTCTCATTCCTAAATCTAAAATCAGGTGGGACGAGGTTCGTGTGGTTGTAACATATGAATTTAGAATAGAGGTATTCATCAAACAAAGAAATACACACATGATTTGAAATTTGTCAAAAGTATCTCATAAATTGTGAAAGCAACTTTCACACTTTAAAAAAAAAGTTATAAATGTGACAGGTGAAGTTAAATAGGGTTTAACGTCACACTTGAGAATATTTCGCTCATATGCCAATGTGAATGTGTGTGTATGTGTGGCTGCTTGTACTAGCCCAGACTTAAGCTGTTTTTTAGTGCTAGTTTACTGAGATACCATGCCGCAGTGAAGCATGAATAACCCACTCAGACACATTATACTGACTCTGAGCCGACCAGTCCTTGTTGTACCCATTAATGCCAAGCCCCAGGCAGGGACCAACAAGTACCATATTTTAACGTCTTTTGGTATGACGCGGTTGGGGATCGCAGCCGGGGATCAAACCCGCGACCTTCCGCTCTCCGGATAAATGTCTAAACAATTAACACCTAGTGAATATGTAAATAATTCCATTTAGCATTATTTGCCTAAATGTCGTTATTGTACGCTCCATGCATTTCTCAACCTCGTACAATTATTCTCATTCTACTCACAATTACATATCAGTTCTTTACAGCAAACACGTGCTCATGTTTACAAACACCCATAGATGTGCATTTTATCACATCCTTTTCTATTACGTCATCACACAATTGGACACGTCATCATAGTATTATTACGTCACTTTCTTTCATTTCTCTGCCATATTAGATAACCGTCATTTCATCAACCACTTGTTAGCAATCTCATTTTATCCTCTTGTTCTCAGTTTCCCTCCCACCCTCCCCATGTTTGCCCAAAACCGTTTTATTCTATCACTTCTATTTAGTGTCATTTAAATCACGCTTCTCATTTCAAAACTTCCAAATACTATAACTCTTATCAACCCTATCTCTCTATTTTATACAACCTTAATCTCTTTACCCACAGATTTCATCCTAAATGGTTTAACTTTGTTGTACAATTAGACTGAAATAAAATGACGTCAGGTGGTAAGGTTCAGGGAGGACATGGGACCGATCTCTCGCTCGATTTATACCTCGCTGCTGCTGCTGCTAGGCTGTCTATTTTCCAATAGAAGGGAAATCGCCGCTACCTGTCTCGTCTGTTCACAGTCCAACAGAGAGCAGGTCATTAAATTGCTTTAGCTTGGCCCTGCGTCCGCCTTCGCCTTCCACACCTGGCCTTTGTTAATCCAATTCTCTACTTTGTTATCATTTTGTTGTTACATAGTTTCTCACTGCTTTCTTAACATTTATGTGTTTTGTTGTATGTTTACATTTCAATTTTCTTAATAATTATGTCACTAAATCTGAGCCGAAATTATGAATGCATCATATTCCTTTTTCAATACTTTGGGTTAGGTATTTCTCTGGTTGCAGTATCAAATTCACCATTCCTGAATCCTGATATTATAAATCAGAAAAAGTGACATTCCATCTTCAAAGCAATCATTTTCTAAAAATAATTGTGACCTTTTTCATAATCTTGCAAGGTACACTGTGTTGTACGTTTCTGATATATCCTGATAATGGTTCAACATTTAGTTAAAGGCACTATATCACACCACATTTCTCTAAAAATATACAATTCATTTCTCTCAATAATACTAACTATCAGCCCTCAGGGAAGATACCAGTTCAGCAAACACCGACAACACAGCGTGTGGTAGTTTTCGATGTACGGAGCAATTGTTTACATTCCATAGATGGCAAGTGTTCTCTGTTTGGAAGCTGTTTGCCTCAAAGTTTCAATTATCAATTTCAGGCATGTCGTAAGGGATAATGTAATTTTCTGAATAAAATTGATATTTTATACTTATCCTGACTCATGCTTATTGCTTGTCTCCTTCCTCTTGCGAACTTAGTGGAACACTTGTATCTCCTATTGAAGCTCCATTCAATAAAACAGACGTAAAATCACTACTCACCAGAGTTGTCTCTATTTCTGTTTTGGCGGGAAACCGTGGCGCCACCAAACTTTTTGGCGTTGAACTGTGGCAGATGCAGCGCCTGGGCTTTCGTGGCTTTCTTGAAGGCTGCGTCTAAGTTCTCTGGGACCGCTGCCATGGGATCAATCCGTGGGAGAGTGATCGTGTCGACGTCATTCTCATGCATTAGATAGGTGTGAGCTGCATTCTCTTCCTTAGAGCAAGGACTGAGCTGAGCAAGGACTGGTGATCCTCCTCCGGCGGTGATCTGGGTGGTGACCTTCGCGACTGCGGGGACCTGTGTGGAGACCTGCGTGGAGACTTGCGGGGCGACCTTCGCGGAGACCTGCGTGGAGACCTGCGTGGAGATCTGCGTGGAGAGGAGCCCGGTGAACTGCGTCTGTAGGGTGACCTGCGCGGAGATGAGCGACGTTTGGTTCGCGAATGCCTCGGTGAATCCCTCGACGATCTGCGTGAGGTTGAAGTCTTGGAGGCTGTATCCGAAGCCCTTCGCGAGTGCCTTCACAAATGCTGATCATCTGAGTCCGCATCTGGGGATAGGCGATTGGTCCTTCGCGAGTGCCTTCGGGAATGCTGATCGTCCGAGTCCGTATCTGGGGATGGGCGAGTCGTCCTTCGCGCAGGCTGGTCCTGAAGCATAGATTTGTTTCCAGACGTCATGTTGGTGGAGGGCCTCTCTGAAGCGTCGTCTGCGTTGGAACCTTCGCGAAGGCTCGGGTCCTCTCTGCGGGCTGGTTGTTGATCATGCGATGCCCTCTCCAGTGCGAAACGCCTCTCCATCATCTCCATGATCTGTTGGTAAAACTGCTGCATGAAGTCCCCCGGGTTGAATGTCTGTGGTGATAGATGAGCTGCCTTTTCTGTGGTGGTAGCGATATGGTCCAAGGATCGCTCATCTGCCGTCAGCGTAGATACCTCGGACTGCGTAGAGATCTGCGCTGAAGTCACCGTTGCTGAGACTGGCCTCTTCTTGTGATGGTACCTCTGGGATGACGAGCGGCTGCTCATCGTAGAGTCCCTGTTCCGACTACGGACAATCTCGGCCGAGAATGTCCTGGTAATCTGCGCTGATTTCCCCTTAGAGGTGGTCGTCGCCCTGGGGGTGCGTAGCCTTCTCTGGGTAGATGACAACTTCCTACTCTTAGGCTGCGACGATGGGACGTCCGGAGTAGCAGGCCTCTTCATGGAGGTGGCGGACACCGTCCCACGAACCGTCCCCCGAGGAAGTCTGCGGCGTAGCACCAGACGGAAGAGGGTCGTCCGACATCAGTTGACTCGTGAGGGACTCAGCTGGTTTATCCATGACATTACAAACCCGTCTCAACCTATCTGCAGCACGTCTAAGAACGCAAAAAAGGTAATTATTAAATGCAAAATTAGTTAAATGCTGGCAATGAATGCAGCTCGAGCTGGAAGAACATGGTACCGTGCAGCTAGGGCACAGTTGATGAGGGTCAGCAGCAGAGAACCGAAGTCTACAATTGAAACAGGTTTTCATGAAAAGTAAACAACTGAACAAACACGGACAAACCGTGAATAAACAGTGCTAAATACAACTAAATTTCAAACCATATTGATGAAGAATACTAACTAAATCTCTATAAAAGTACAATAGAGGATAATAACTAAGTAATAAAAGGATATAGTGCCGTATAGGAGACACAGGCGCTCTCACAATCTGCTCACAGGGCGAAGGAGGAGAGAGTGAAGCGTGGGAGAACGGTGGCACCACGGTTTCCCGCCAAAACGGAAATAGAGACAACTCTGGTGAGTAGTGATTTTACGTCTGTTTTATTGAAGGGAGCTTCAATAGGAGTGTTCCACTAAGTTCGCAAGAGGAAGGAGACAAGCAATAAGCATGAGTGTCAGGATAAGGAAAAATATAAGTCTTTCAATGCAAGGACTTTCTATTTCATTGCATCCTATAAATCATTCTCATGTGTTCCCTTACCTGATGGAAGTGCTCCCACAGTTGTCCCACCATGTCGGGGAACCTGAGCACCAACCGCATCAAAATCCATTCCTGCATGTGTCGCACTGACGCATGTGGCTCATACACCAGGATTCGCCAGACAAACTGCCATAGTGTCTGGAGGCTGTCTCCCTGCAACACAACCACACAGAATCATATGAGAGTTATACACCAGGATTCGCCAGACAAACTGCCGTAGTGTCTGGAGGCTGTCTCCCTGCAACACAACCACACAGGATCATATGAGAGTTATACACCAGGATTCGCCAGACAAACTGCCATAGTGTCTGGAGGCTGTCTCCCTGCAACACAACCACACAGGATCATATGACAGTTATACACCAGGATTTGCCAGACAAACTGCCATAGTGTCTGAAGGCTGTCTCCCTGCAACACAACCACACAGGATCATATGAGTGTTATACACCAGGATTCACCAGACAAACTTCCACAGTGTCTTGAGGCTGTCTCCCTGCAACACAACCACACAGGATCATATGAGAGTTATACACCAGGATTCACCAGACAAACTGCCATAGTGTCTGAAGGCTGTCTCCCTGCAACACAACCACACAGGATCATATGACAGTTATACACCAGGATTCAAGCCAGACAAACTGCCACACAGTGTCTGGAGGCTGTCTCCCTGCAACACAACCACACAGGATCATATGACAGTTATACACCAGGATTCACCAGACAAACTGCCATAGTGTCTTGAGGCTGTCTCCCTGCAACACAACCACACAGGATCATATGAGTGTTATACACCAGGATTCACCAGACAAACTTCCACAGTGTCTGGAGGCTGTCTCCCTGCAACACAACCACACAGGATCATATGAGAGTTATACACCAGGATTCGCCAGACAAACTGCCAAACTGCCATAGTGTCTGGAGGCTGTCTCCCTGCAACACAACCACACAGGATCATATGAGTGTTATACACCAGGATTCAGCCAGACAAACTTCCACAGTGTCTGAAGGCTGTCTCCCTGCAACACAACCACACAGGATCATATGAGTGTTATACACCAGGATTCGCCAGACAAACTTCCACAGTGTCTGGAGGCTGTCTCCCTGCAACACAACCACACAGGATCATATGACAGTTATACACCAGGATTCACCAGACAAACTGCCATAGTGTCTTGAGGCTGTCTCCCTGCAACACAACCACACAGGATCATATGACAGTTATACACCAGGATTTGCCAGACAAACTGCCATAGTGTCTGGAGGCTGTCTCCCTGCAACACAACCACACAGGATCATATGAGTGTTATACACCAGGATTCACCAGACAAACTTCCACAGTGTCTTGAGGCTGTCTCCCTGCAACACAACCACACAGGATCATATGACAGTTATACACCAGGATTCACCAGACAAACTGCCCATAGTGTCTGAAGGCTGTCTCCTGCAACACAACCACACAGGATCATATGACAGTTATACACCAGGATTCACCAGACAAACTGCCATAGTGTCTGGAGGCTGTCTCCCTGCAACACAACCACACAGGATCATATGACAGTTATACACCAGGATTCACCAGACAAACTTCCACAGTGTCTGGAGGCTGTCTCCCTGCAACACAACCACACAGGATCATATGACAGTTATACACCAGGATTCACCAGACAAACTGCCATAGTGTCTTGAGGCTGTCTCCCTGCAACACAACCACACAGGATCATATGACAGTTATACACCAGGATTCACCAGACAAACTGCCACAGTGTCTGGAGGCTGTCTCCCTGCAACACAACCACACAGGATCATATGACAGTTATACACCAGGATTCACCAGACAAACTGCCATAGTGTCTGGAGGCTGTCTCCCTGCAACACAACCACACAGGATCATATGACAGTTATACACCAGGATTCACCAGACAAACTGCCATAGTGTCTTGAGGCTGTCTCCCTGCAACACAACCACACAGGATCATATGACAGTTATACACCAGGATTCACCAGACAAACTTGCCACAGTGTCTGGAGGCTGTCTCCCTGCAACACAACCACACAGGATCATATGACAGTTATACACCAGGATTCACCAGACAAACTGCCATAGTGTCTGGAGGCTGTCTCCTGCAACACAACCACACAGGATCATATGACAGTTATACACCAGGATTCACCAGACAAACTGCCATGTAAACTGAGTGTCTTGAGAGGTATTGAGGGCTGTCTCCCTGCAACACAAACTGACACACAGGATCATATGACAGTTATACACCAGGATTCACCAGACAAACTAGTACTCTTGTTAGTGTCTCTGGCAGGCTGTCTCAGACCCTGCAACACAACTTTCTATATGGCACACAGGATCATATGACAGTTATACACCAGGATTCACCAGACAAACTGAACATCTGTCAATAAGCATTGAGAAAACCAACTGTGGTGCCAGTGTTGGTGGTGATGTCAACTTCAAACTAACGCATTAAACAATGTCCTACTGGGGTGGAAAATTACAACCTTAAGTATGACCTATAACCACATTTGAGCAATATTTTGAAAAAGAGCTGACCTGTGTTATGAATGGTTCCAGTACACAAATTGCTTGAAAGATCCTGTTCTTCTGGCGGTGACAGAGGGAGTTGTTGAACTGACGGTACTCTGCCAAATCCATTACTGCATCATGCCGGGCACAGAGATCCAGGATTAATTCCTGGGCAAACTCTGTATGAGGTGGTTCATTCGGGTCCAAGTGTGACAGATAATTGATGGCAAAAACACGAACAATGCCATCACCTTTTGAGAATCTGAACAAAAGAGATTGAGGGAGAAGATCAGAAAGCCGAGCATGGATAAATTATCCCCTGAGCAAGTAGATACAGAACATCAGCCTGGTGAGTTGACTACTAGATATTGGTTACTGGGGATATCTGCAGGGGGCAGTCTTCATACAACATGACTGAACAAACATCACATACCTTGGCATGACATCATTCACTGACAACATCTTTCCTTGCTTCTGAACGAAGAATGTTACATCCAAAATGAGTCTGTAATATAGGAAATGAAATAACGATTAGAATATGCTTCTAGGTCAGGAATAAAGAAAACATAAAGTCACATGGTCACTGAGACAAGTTCAACTGCATTGCCTGACACTGAGACATGTACAGCTGGGTCACCTGTCACTCAGACACGTACAGCTGGGTCGCCTGACACTGAGACATGTACAGCTGAGTCACATGTCACATTACAGCCTGACACTGAGACATGTACAGCTGGGTCGCCTGACACTCAGACACACGCATTACAGCTGGGTCGCCTGACACTCGAGACATGTACAGCTGGGTGACAAGCCTGACTCAGACATGTACAGCTGGGTCGCCTGACACTCAGACATACAGCATGTACAGCTGGGTCACCCGTGCACACGTACAGCTGGGTCAGCCTGGACATTAAGCTCTGGACACTCAGACACGCATACAGCTGGGTCAGCCTGACACTCAGACATGTACAGCTGGGGCCTGACACTCAGACTGTACAGCTGGAGACTGACACTCGAACCGCGTACAGCTGGGTCTGACCTGACACTCAGACAGACACGTACAGCTGGGTCAGACCTGCACACTCAGACACGTACAGCTGGGTCAGCCTGACACTCAGACATGTACAGCTGGGTGGCCTGACACTCCAGACATGACACCTGACACTCAGACACGTACAGCTGGGTCAGCCTGACGCTTCTGACACTGCGACACGTACAGCTGGGTCGCCTGACACTCAGACATGTACAGCTGGGTCGCCTGACACTCAGACACGTACAGCTGGGTCGCCTGACACTCAGACATGTACAGCTGGGTCGCCTGACACTCAGACACGTACAGCTGGGTCGCCTGACACTCAGACATGTACAGCTGGGTCAGCCTGACACTCGAGACACGTACAGCTGGGTCGCCTGACACTCAGACACGTACAGCTGGGTCGCCTGACACTCAGACATGTACAGCTGGGTCGCCTGACACTCAGACACGTACAGCTGGGTCGCCTGACACTCAGACATGTACAGCTGGGTCGCCTGACACTCAGACACGTACAGCTGGGTCGCCTGACACTGTACAGCTGGGTCAGCTGGTACACGCACAGCTGGGTCGCCTGACACTCAGAGACATGTACAGCTGGGTCAGCCTGACACTCAGACACTCAGACACGTACAGCTGGGTCGCCTGACACTCAGACATGTACAGCTGGGTCGCCTGACACTCAGACACGTACAGCTGGGTCAGCCTGACACTGAGACATGTGCAGCTGGGTCACCTGTCGCATTATCAACAATGATATAATTCTTAGAATACCACCTCTCACACATTCAACAGGAGTTATCTCCACTAGCAGAAGCACTGGAGCCTGAAATGAGATTCCCATGTTTGCTCTAGGGGAGATAACTCCTGTGGATGGTGTGTGGTGAACCGCAAGGAAGCAAGTCAACACAATTCCTTGGACTTAAATTTGTTATTTTACTGCAAAACAAGTTTCAGGTAAAGACAATCAAGTGTTAGAGGAGCATATTTGTAAGAATTATGTACAACTTTGTCACCTGTCTGTTCTGTGGTGTAAGCCCCCAAACATACATGCATCAGCTAGGATGGAGCGGAAGTTGTTAGCTATCTGTATGCCATGATCTTCTGAGATGAGATGTGGGTACAGATGTTCTATCAGCATGTTGACCACACCCAACTTATCCTCTCCCAGCTTCAAAAGCAGGGCCATGTGCTAGAAAAGGTGAATACATATTAATAATAATGATATATGTCTTGTCATTAGCTCAAAATGGGTTAACTTACAATAGTTATTTCATGCATACAGGAATAGCTTACATGGCATAATCAAAGACAGATATGAAGATCCAACAATTACAATGCCCACCACAAGAAGACATTTGTGGCCAGCAAGCCAGGACTTACAGGTAACAACAGAGGTTGTGTTAACAGTTTAATGACCCTACCTCCATCAGACACTCATTGACCTGGGATCCAGGATCTGACAGAAGCAATGGAGTCTGAGTTAAGAGTTTGACAACACATGCCAGTTTCCGCCAGTAGGAAGCAGTGTGTAGCTCCTCACTGGCCTTGACCCACGCCACATGCAGCATCTGGCACACTTTATCTGGTGCCACGGTCACCATCTGTCAACAGAGAACCAAGTGGTCAAGTAACTTAGGAACAGTTGTTCAGGGATTTCACAATATCAATAAAATGAGCTCCTTAACTCTCATTTTAATTTCCCTAATTAATATCTCATTACTATCTCCCAATGAGGAAACTTTGACCAATCAGATTACATAAAGGATGCGAGGGTACTTGATCATTCTGAAATGGCCAGTACAAAGAATTACAACCTTTGATGCTTTTGTCATCAAATCTTCACACTGAGAGATAGTATCATGAGATTAAATGAAAAGTGGCTTCTGATATCAGCGGAATGTAAAACATGTCTACTGGCGGTACAGCAAGATATTTTTGGCATTGCTTGAAAGCTTGGAATGTCTAGTTTTCCAAAACTGTGTCAGGCAACATGTCTGTTTAGGGCATTTCCATGGTAACCATGCTATTTTGAAAAGAACACTACAGTTACACATAAAAGGAAGCATTTGTACTTTTCAAAGCAATGCTCTAGTTAAACAAGGTCAAGGTTACGTTAATCAATATTTGGATTTTTGTTGTATATTCAATGTTATTTTGTATTTTTCATTAACTGCAGAGTACATTATAACAACAGCACGTGTTTGACATCAATAAGAAACAACACAGATTCTATTTTCTAGGTGATATTACAGCATGTCATCTAAATGTGGGAAGAAAGCCCCCTTGGTGAAACCTGCATACACAGCTATTACCAAACAATGACCTTGCTACATCCAGGGCTGACCTCACCATCACTGGATTCTGGCCTGCCAAGGACACTGAAAACTGTAGTCATTTGCCCATGTTGGTTGTGACCTTTTTATGTTAAGAGGCCAGTTATTATTACTGACTTCAAAGCTCCCACCTAATATGAATTTCTAACAAGGTTTGTGGCTTTTCATGGTAAATAATTAATATGAATTCATCATAGCTGTCTTGTGCAATATGGATTAAGTGGTCTAGTTGATGGTGAGGAAGGTCAGTGCTTAGATTCCTGGCCATGTCATACCAAGTGACGGTAAAAGATGGTGCTTGTTCCCCCGTATGGCACATGGCATTAAGGGGATAAAGCGAGGCTTGATAAACTCAGCAGCATGGGAGATCAGGGGCTAACACTTGGCATTAGGGGATAAAGCAAGGCCTGATAACCTCAGCAGCATGGAAGATCAGGGGCTAACACTTGGCATTAGGGGATAAAGCAAGGCCAGATAACCTCAGCAGCATGGTAGATCAGGGGCTAACACTTGGCATTAGGGGATAAAGCGAGGCCTGATAAACTCAGCAGCATGGTAGATCAGGAGGCTAACACTTGGCATTAGGGGATAAAGCGAGGCCTGATAAACTCAGCAGCATGGTAGATCAGGGGCTAACACTTGGCATTAGGGGATAAAGCGAGGCCTGATAAACTCAGCAGCATGGGAGATCAGGAGGCTAACACTTGGCATTAGGGGATAAAGCAAGGCTTGATAAACTCAGCAGCATGGTAGATCAGGGGCTAACACTTGGCATTAGGGGATAAAGCGAGGCCTGATAAACTCAGCAGCATGGGAGATCAGGAGGCTAACACTTGGCATTAGGGGATAAAGCGAGGCTTGATAAACTCAGCAGCATGGTAGATCAGGGGCTAACACTTGGAATTAGGGGATAAAGCAAGGCCTGATAAACTCAGCAGCATGGTAGATCAGGGGCTAACACTTGGAATTAGGGGATAAAGCAAGGCTTGATAAACTCAGCAGCATGGGAGATCAGGGGCTAACACTTTAAAACTGGCATTAATCCCAACTAGTACAAGTATATGCACACACACTTAAAACAGGTGCATGCACATCACTATATAAAGTGAAATAATAAATGAATGAAATGTTTAATTTCTATTTCACCTCTTTGCCAAGTGCCATATTCAATGTACAAGGAAATATGTAATTTTTAGAGTAAAATTGATATTTTATACTTATCCTGACTCATGCTCTTTTGCTTGCTTGTCTTCTTCTTCTTGCGAACATAGTGGAACACTTGTATCTCCCTAATTGAAGTTCCCTTCAATGTAAAATCACTAATTAGTACTCACCACGAGTTAAGTCCCTTCCACAAGCGCGTGAACGAGGGCGCCACCTCCACCCATGTACCTCACTCTCTCCTCATATACTGAGCCCAACATTTGAATTTACAGGGAAATCCAAAGTGTTATGTGGGGAGGATGGGAGGGCTTACCTCATGAGTCAGGATAAGTATAAAATATCAATTTTACTCAGAAAATTACATATTTTTCCTTATCCTGACTCATGCTCTTTTGCTTGTAGAATCCTACGGAAAAGGAGGTGGGAATATATAATACTTTGGATTTTAATAATTAGTGATTTGAACTGTGATGATTGTAATAACCCTATGGGAACTTCATAAAGGCACTGAACTGATGAATTCCTGCTGCTAACTTATCAGCTGCCATATAAAGGTTATTACAATGTACTTATTATGATAAAGTATATATAACATTAATACAATGCTTAAGACTAATAGACTTAAGCTTGTTAATATGCTAGTATAAACTCCTTAGAGTTTGTTTGCTAAAATACTTTAAGATATAAACATAGTACTAAGCTTAAGATATGATTAAACTTAAGCTAATTATATAATAGCAAAACTCCTTAAAGTTTATAGCTAATATACTTTATAATGTAACCATAATGCTTAAGATCTGATGAAACTTAAGCCAAATATATAATAGCAAAACTCTTTAGAGTTTGTTAGCTAATATACTTATATGATATAAACATAGTGCTGAGCTTAAGATATGAATAAGCTTAAGCTACATATATAATAGCAAAACTCTGTAGAGTTTGTTAGCTAATATATTTTTACGATATGAGTATAGTACTGTGCTTAAGATATAATTAACTTAAGCTACATATACAATAGCCAAAAACTCTGTAGAGTTTATTAGCTAATAGATTTATAATGTAACCATAGTACTAAGCTTAAGATATGATTAGACTTAAGCTAAATATATATAGAAAAAAACTCCTTAGAGTTTATTAACTAATATACTTTTATGTTATAAACATAGTACTGAGCTTAAGATATGATTAAACTTAAGCTATATATATAATAGCAAAACTCCGTAGAGTTTGTTAGCTAATACATTTTATAATGTAACCATACTGCTTAAGATATGATGAAACTTAAGCTAAATATATAATAGCAAAATACCCTTTAGAGTTTGTTAGCTAAAATACTTATATGATATAAACATAGTATTGAGCTTAAGATATGATGAAACTTAAGCCAAATATATAATAGCAAAAACTCTTTTGAGTTTGTTAGCTAATATACCTATATGATATAAACATAGTACTGCGCTTAAGATATGAATAAGCTTAAGCTACATATATAATAGCAAAAACTCCGTAGAGTTTGTTAGCTAATACATGTTATAATGTAACCATAATGCTTAAGATATGATGAAACTTAAGCCAAATATATAATAGCAAAAAACTCTTTAGAGTTTGTTAGCTAATATACTTATATGATATAAACATAGTACTGAGCTTAAGATATGAATAAGCTTAAGCTACCTATATAATAGCAAAAACTCCGTCGAGTTTGTTAGCTAATATATTTTTACAATATGAGTATAGTACTATGCTTAAGATATAATTAACTTAAGCTACGTATATAATAGCCAAAAACTCTGTAGAGTTTGTTAGCTAATGCATTTATAATGTAACCATAGTACTACGCTTAAGATATGATTAACTTAAGGTAAATATATAATAACAAACTCTGTAGAGTTGTTAACTTATATATTGTATGATGTAATAATCATAGTACTGTGATGATAAAAAAGAACTTAAGCAAATTATATATAGCATGTAGCTATTTAGTACTGTTATAAGATAAGTAGAAATCTGTAAGATTGACTTATCTTCTCCGAGGAACTGTCAACTGTTGTGCGAGGACCATGGGACCGAATTGGTGGATACCTGAGACGTCCTTGGTGGTGATGTCTCTCAGATAATGGTTGGCAACCACCATATCGGATTTCCAGATATAAACCCTCCATTATTTCAAATAACACTTGTGTAGATCAATTGTAGAAGTTAGCGCTCTAATATCATGAGTATTAGAAGCTCATGGAGGGTCGGATCGGGTCCTGCAGTCTTGTAGGCACGTAGTATGACAGTTCTGATCCAAAAGGAGATGGTAGTACGTGAGACTTCAGTCTGCGTAAGTTAATGATAGAGGAAATAATCTGTTGCATTTTTCCCTCCTGTTTGGTTCGGTGGAGATAAATTTACAGTGCTCTTACTGGCCATCGTGATAGAATCATCGTATCATGGAGTCCAAGTATATCATCAAGGCGTGTTCATAAACCTCACTTGTGAGGTGTTGGAGCACTATATTCAGATCCCCAAGTTGGAGCGTGAAACTTCCGTTTTAATCCTCCAATCAGAAAGCTTAAGTAGGTTTACTAACCATCTAGTTGTGTTAGTAGCTTGATGATGAAATTCAGCTGTAGTCTGAGACGCTGTGGATTTAGATCCACTTGTATCCCGTCGTCTAGGTAATTCGCTGCGAAGTCCTTGACGATGTAGGTGCACAACCAGGTGTGTCTGTCATCGTTGAACTTTATGTAAAATCGCCTGACTGCCGTGCCCTCGTCCTAACTTGACAGGGGAGGTCTCTAACCTGAAGAAAGCAGCCCAATCATGAAGGTTCAGATTAACTGGACTGTAAGGAGGCTTGCTCGCTCACTGATATATAGTTGTCACTTGTAACGTAAGTCTTGAACTGAGAACTAAGATCGACCTCGCGTGGAGGTCGTTGTCCATCGCGTCCAATCAGAACAAGGCATTTTGATTCTGTAGAATACCCGCTGTGATGTCACCAGTGTAGCAGGAAAAAACCTTGTATAAAATCTTGCCGTTGTTGATATTAGCATAATCGCCGGTCTTCACCGTAGCTTCCTCGGTTACCCGAAAGTGACCACGTGTTTCGAGGGTTA